ACTAGGAATGTAGGAATCAGGCAGGAAATAATAAAACAAATGCATACCAATGAAGATAGCATGCCAGGATGAGCAACTAATTTCTGTATACCCAAAGGCCCCCTTGGAGGACAGAAAAAGAAGAAAGGCAAACACGTAAGCAAGTAATTTCTTTTCATCGGTTAAAATGAGGTTTAGGATTAATAGTTCCCTCTCAAAATTTTTAGATATTTTCTTTTTAGTTTAATCATATCACTAGCAGACAGGCCAATGGGTAAAATCTCTCCTCACATTTACATCTTGCCTTGCACTCAGCTCCAAGATTTGTATTACTATATCATTCACTTTTAATCCTCTTAGTAAAGTAGTTTAGCATACTCCTGTTCCAAACCTTTGGTCTTACCTAGAAGTTCTCTTGCAAAATTCCTTTCTCATGAGTTTCTACTTGTAGCTTCTAAATATACTATGGCTGCTTCTCAAATAAGAGATCTGTATTTTCGAAATAAAATATACTCTTGGGGTGCCTGGGTGGTTCAGCGTTGGGCGACTGCCTTCGGCTCAGGTAGTGATCCCAGGGTCCTGGATCGAGCCCCGCATCGGGCTCCCTACTCAGCGGGAACCCTGCTTCTCCCTCTCTCACTTCCCTTGCTTGTGTTCCCTCTCTCGCTCTCTCTCTCTCTGTGTCAAATAAATAAATAAAATCTTAAAAAAAAAGAAATAAAATATACTCTTACATGACTATGTTTTACTTATTAGTTTTATCCCACTAAATCTTTGAACTACGAACAAGGCTATAGTTAATCTGAGTTATTACTATACTTTGTGTATTGATTCATTAGTTCATCAACTGTCAGCTCAACACCTGTGTCCTAGATTCATGAATAAAGAGATGAAGATAGCATAAACCCCTTTCCTCAAGGATTTCCACTGCTTGAGAGGGAAGATAAAAATGTAGACAAGACAAATAATTATAGTGTAATGTGCTAAATGTTCTGACAGAGTATGAACAAAAGTAAGTAGGAATGTATGCAGGGTCATAACTATAATTTGTCTAGGAAAATATTACAGAAGGCTTATACAGATGTTCCATTTAAGTGGTAAACAGACTTGGCAAAATAAGAAAAAGGAATGACTTCTAAAATCTTAAGTAAAATTCTTACCCTCTTTCTGTTGGTTTTCTCCTAGAAATTCTCCTAAAAAGATAACTGGTTCTTTCAGAATTCAGTTCATTCAACGTAATTAATACAAAACTTTTAGTTAGAAACTATTAACCATATTTTAGGATATCCATGTAAAAATAAAATCTTTTATTTCAAAGAAACATATCAAAACAAATTCATTCTATTTACTACCAACTGTATGTAAACTCAATATTCAAGATCTGTTCTATTAAAAAAAGTAACATTTTACAATACAGTGGGTATATCAATTGGCTTCGGCTCCTATAACAAAATGCCAGACTGAGTGGCTTAAACAACAGGAATTAATTTTGTCAACGTTCAGGGGGCTAGAAGTCTAAGATTAAGGTGCTAGCAGGTTTGGTATCTCGTGAGAACTCTCCTGTGGGTTACAGATGGCCCACTTTGTTGCTGTGTGGCTCACATGGCCTTTCATGTACATGTGCTCAAGGAAAGAGGAGCTGGATAGCGTTCCTTCTTTTTAAGAACACCAAACCTATAAGACCCAGGTCCTACTCTCATGACCTCATCCAACTCTAATTACCCCCCAAAGGCCTAATTTCCAAATATCATCACATTGGGCTTCAACATATAAATTTGGGGCAGGGGAGAGTGGCTGGCAGAACCATAAACATTCAGTTTGTAATAGTAGGGTAAGCAGTATGTTAGATTTGTTAGCTGAGATACTATCCCTACCCTGAAGATCCGCATTATCTTCCTGAGGAAAAGAGAATTGTCCTTGCATACCTGTTAGCAAAGCTTAGTTCAAAACAATGCTAATTAAAAAAATCTTAGATTATGGAATTATTCTCAAAATCATTTTTCTTATCACTGTTCTGTGACTCAGATTATCTGATTTATGACAATGAAATACTAAAACCATCTGGTAATATTAGAGTGATACTTCTCAGGTTTTTATAGCCAGGCTTTAATTTGAAAGTTTAAATTATATGTATGAACATTTTCTATAGGCATACCTGCCAATAATTTTAAATTAGTTAATTCAAATTTTAAATGACCTTCAGTTTTTCTTACCATAAAAAAACTTTATGTTTCAACAGTGCCTTTAGAATATGTGAAATTATATATTATATCCTCACATATGATAGTGGGACACAGCTATATCCTCCAGTCTTAATTACAGGAAAAGTATAGACAACTGTAAAGCTTAGCTTTATTGTTTTATAAATGAACCAGTAAAGTTCATTTTAGTGAAATGAGCACATGCTTTTCATAAATTAAATCTCACATGGTAAGTACTCATTTTCAAAATTAATTTAATTATATGTTTAAAGTTTAATTACATTTAATTAAGCATTTAAGTTTTATATGAAATAAATGAATTATCAGTTAACTGCTATGAAATGAAATATTGCCTTGATAATTAAAATCTATAAATTTTCCTATTCTGTGCAAAACCGCTAGTTCTCAAAAAACACTCCAAAAAAAAAAAACAAACATATTTTAAAGGACTATATTCTCACGGCTGCTCAAGGTGTAGTTTTTCCTGGCACCTGGCTTCACATGCTGTCCATTTACTACAATAGCAAATGGAGGCAGCCTGGCCCAGAATAAAAAGCAGAGGTTCTGAAGACTTGGGCTTGGGTCAGAGACTTAGTCACTAACAACCTGAAAGAATGGGAAAGCTACTTAACATCTCTGACATCAAGCTCCTAAAAAATGGGGATAATATTACTTACTTTTCAGGGTTGTGGGAGGATTAGATGAAATATCCTATGGTCAAATGCCTGGAACGGTGCCTGACATGGAACAGGTATTCTTAACAAATGTTAATTCCCTCCTTCTTTTAGTTGCTGAATGAACGAACAAAACCCTTGTACTTTGGGGCTTAAAAAAGTTTTATTCGTTTTTTTTAAACATTATTTTTTTTTAAAGATTTTGTTTATTTATTTGGCAGAGAGAGAGAGCACAAGTAGGCAGAGTGGCAGGCAAAGGGATAGGGAGAAGCAGGCTCCCCACTGAGCAAGGAGCCCAATGTGGGGCTCGATCCCAAGACCCCGGGACCACAACCTGAGCCAAAGGCAGATGCTTAACCAACTGAGCCACCCGGGTGCCCCTAAATATGTTTTATTCTTAAAATATTTTATTAATTACAAAAGTAACACCACATTTTTTGTTTACTTACATTATACTTAATGGACATTTTACATTTTTTTTATTTCCTTAAGTACTCCATGAATGGAGGCAATATAGCATTATAGCGAACACAGAATTTTGAGTCAGAAAGAACTGACTTTGAATTTGGGTTCCACCATTTACTACTTGAGAAATCAAGGAGAAGTCATTTCCCAAGCCATAAAAGTATATGTATGTCTGGTTTAGTGAATGGCAAAAATTAATACTATTGATATATTGATTATAGTATAATCAATATAATCATTCAAACTTCACAAAATATTAGTGATGTAGGTAGGACAAATGGTATCCCCCTAGCCCAATTTTTCACTGAAGGATATTTATTTTCACTGAATTTAAGGGAATTTCCCAAGGTTAACAGTCGGATGGACTCAGTCAGAACTCAGATTTCTTTATTTCTTTATCAGTGCTCTTTCCTTCATAACATAGGAAGGTAAAGGCAAAGGACAGCAATGTGTCTTGAAGCAGTAAAGCAAAAAGAAAGGGATCTGGTTTAGGTTAATCCTGGTTCTATCACTTAATAGTTGAGCCTCAAATAAATAACTTCTGTGAATTTCAGTATCTTCTCCTGGAAAATGGGAATACATACTTTGTTAAGGTTCATACAAGGATTGCACTAGGTAACAAATGTAATACATAGTGGAGTGACCGACACACACAGAAGGCATTCATTAATGGTTGCTATTAACACTAAGACATCAAAGCACCACTTTTGGTAAGTCTCAAGCCACAGAATGGAGAAACCATAATGAAGTGAAGATTTTTTATTTTTTGAAAGAGATTTAATAACAATAAATAGGATAGTCTTCACTAAATTCTCAAGTAATATTCCTGGAAAGAGACTCTAGATTTGTAAGTCATTTCAGTTCACAACTTCCTATATTAAATCTCCACGTAATAACTCATCTCACTGAAAATAATGGTTTTACAAACATGAAAGAAAAGAGAGGCAACAACCTATTTCATGGATTACTTTCCTTGATTCAACTGCAGTAAGAATTGAAATTACATATTCTGAACACTTTATAAATTATTCAATGTCAAGTACTGTAATTTACAGAGTTTTACCTTAATGAAGTTAGTAGCACTATAAGCATGTGTTGGTTTAATATTTAAAACTTTTCATTGTAAACTCAAAAAAAACCCCTAAATTCTTTTAAGGCAACCTAAAAAAATACAGATTGCTGTATTTACAGAATAACTAGAAATAGAAAGCCTTAATAAATAAAATATTGGAAAACATACACTTTCTGTTTATTTCTGAAATAACACTTATTGAAAAACAGCAGTACTTTATACCATTTTTACTGCTATTATTATCAGTAAGTAGTATTTAGATATCTATCTGCATTTAGGGCTAAAAGACCCTGATTTAAAAACTATTCCACATTTTCTTGAAAATAAAAACAGCAGGGATTATATTTTTGGTATCCAGACTTTTCAAACTGCAAATTAAGAATAACAGCACATCCAACAGTTATAGGACTGGAAAAAGAAAACCACATATAAAGAAATAATATGAAACATATGCACAATTAAGGTTACATATTATATAGAAAACATTGATTATTAGGATATGTACCTTTGGTTATGCATTCTTTCAAAGAATGCGGTAAAAATGCATTCTGTTAACCTGTGAAATGCATTCTGTTAACCTGTGAAATCAGAATTAATTCATTAACTTACCATGGTTCTATATTAAGAGTTGAAGATAATTTTTCTGGAAAAAAAAATCCATGCCATTTTGAAGCCTCAATTAGTTCTTGTGGCATCCTTTTTGATGCATCATAATAGTGACCAAATCTTGAAGAAGATACTGGTCCAGACTGTTAAGAAAAGCCATATTGGTTGTTAAAAAATTACTGTTTTTTTTAAAACTACAGTGTATTTGAACTACATTCAGCAAAATACTGATATATTTGTGCATTTTAATGCTGACAGGAAGAGCTTATATACATGGACTTATTAAATTTCAAAGAAGCATACAACAACTTTTATTATTTTAAATGATAACTTAGAAATCAACCTTTTCCTCTCTCATGTTTCTTGGCTGCTAGTGGTTCCCTAAATTTGATAAGAATTCAAACACCTCTTTGCTTTTTTTACTGTATACCTTCCTAAGTTAAAAAAATTTAATATTTGTGTCTTAAGTATTTTTTAAAGGTTCCAGGTTTAAATGACAAATTAAATATGGAATTGCTAAGAACTAATGAAAACTTAAGCCAATGAAATCATTGGTGAGGGGCCCAAAAGAAACTAGCTATTTAAATATATTAAACTGAGCATCATTTAAAAATTAAATTCTCACAAGACAGTGTGTATATATACAAAATTTCTTACAAATTTAAAATTAAACTTATAGTATAAAATGTATTGGGGTACTCCTGTTGGGAACAAGGCATGTGCTAAAGAGGGAGAATGTATACAAACTACATTAGATAAATCAGAAACCTGACATAATCATTAGTTCATTGATACTTCCTCTTTTGTGCTATTACCAATTTCTCCAACAAATTATCTTTCTCATAAGAAACTCTAGTTAAACTACTGATGCTGAATTTACTTACACAGGATAGTAAAGGCCTAGTAATAGAACATTCTCATTATATTGCTTTGAATAGACTCTGTGCTGATTCAACATACTAGAAATATATATACACCTCTGTCCAAAGTTGAACTACTGACAGATTCCACCTGGTAATAGTTTCTAATACTTTCTAATCTAAATTTACATAATTTTCACTGTCCTGAATACTACACAACAAATTTCAGAACATTCAACAAAACAGATAATCTGCAGATAATCTGCAGAAACTGAAGAACTTTATGGAGTGAGTTCTTTATTTTACTAAGTAACTGACAACTTTGTAATTTAGATAAACCGAGATTTCCTTGGCACTAGATATTTGCATTTTAAGACTTAAAGGATTAATATTCTTAAACTGGATGCCTATCAACATAAAATTATACAGTAACATTGAATAAAAAAATTTAAGTCTAATAGAAACATTATTCTCAAATTCAGAGTCTGTGGGTTTGGCATTTATTTTCTAAGTAAAATGACTGTTCACCCCTCCATAAGATACAGTTTATTTTCATTAACGAAAGAGACCTATCAATCAGCTCAACCTAATGTATTCAATACAATATACATACAAGTATGGTTCCTAAAGGATGATTTATCTATTTACCATGGCAGTATTAACAAATAAATTATGAGACATTAAAGTACGTTTCTTAAAAATAGGGTAAAGTTTTTTAAATGTAAAGTTATTAGTATAAAGCAATTTAAACAAGGTCTGTTCTTTGGCCTATAATCTATTCTTTATCCGGATTATAGTTCAGAATGTTTTTACTGCAATCTCTGCTAGAGCTCATCTTTTTATTGTGTAAGTCCAAGTCCCCTTAATGTTTTAGAAAGGCCTTGACTAACTGAACTTTGATCTGATGTCTTCATTGAGAAAAACACCAGGTTGCCCATTTCAGATGCAAATCCTCCTAAGGCCCAATAGAATTTAGTAAAGACAAGCAAAAAAGAAGAAACAAGAAGTTTCCAGGATCCTCTTTGAGAATCCTGGGGCACACTGGTGTCCTTAATCCACACTGCTCCATGGATTAAGGTAGGTGATAACCTTTCCTGATTCAAAAGAATAAGCAGAGTGCCTACAAACTGGGTGGAGACTAGGATTTGGTAATAATAAAACACCATGCAATAAAAGCTTGGTCTATGTCAGAAGCCTCTGAAAAGGCCTCAATGTACCACATTCCCAGGCCTAGTAGGGAAGCTTGCAAAAGCCTACCTGAATCAAATAAGCATGAATAATCTATTTTAGCAGACTGGCCATGGGGAGAGAGAAAGAAAGAGAGACTTTTCGCTTCTTTTAAGTTTGAGTTAATAAATTTATTAGTGCACTGAAGGTTCTTGAAGTCTTGAGCACTCAGAGAAATATGCTAAATTGCCAAGAAGCAAAGTATGCTTTTTAAGTTGCCGTCTCTATTAATGTTTCTAATTATAATATTAATGTGATAGAAATCTCAGATTTGGGATGAATCAAGGCAGAAAATTGATTTCATGCTGTGACAGTTTACATATAGAACACAAATAATTCATTAAAATGTAAGAATAAATTTGGAAGCTTTTCTTATTACAATTAAGTTATTAATTTTTTTTAGAAATTAAGATTAAATATGGCAACTAAAATCTTCACCAGGTAGACAATACAAATTTTATTAATGTTGAAAAGCTTAATCCTTCAATAAAAATGAAAATGGAAAAATAAATATACCCTTACAGGAAAAACAATTTTGTAAGGTTTTTTTTCTACCCCAAACACAAAGCATTAAAATATAATCAGATTTTTAAAAATCCTGTGAAATCTTTTGAGGCTTAGAATTATAAAACAAAGACTTCAAATATTTCCTCTGAAAAAAGATAACTAAATGCTTTAAGTCTGATAATACTCTATGAAAAAACTGTCAATTCCACAAAAGACACATTAAAAAAATCAAAATATCATCAATAACTAGTCGGTTTTACTCAGTTTGATAAGAACATGTTGCTTTAGTTTTACATTAAAAAACTTCTGTTTCACAGTCACAGACTAACCTTTACCTTTGTCAACTGTGGAACAGAGAATAATGGAATGGTTCAGTTAAAATTTACTATGATAAGGAAAAATTAATTCTGATTGGAGGCCAGAAAGAGCACAGAACAATAAAACAATACCATCTCTACCTTCAGTATGTTAGAAAGAAACAAAACTTTCAGACAAAAGCTGCACCACAAATAAACAGTCTAAATAAGACATTTTCTTATTATTGTTATCATTTCTTGTTTCTCAGTACGGCATAACAGAAGCAAAAACCCAAATGGTTAACTAACCACTTTGAGCCTCAGTTTAACCACCAATAATAACTACTTTGTTAGGCTGTTGTGAAAATCTAATGCAATACTGGCAATGAATACTCTGTAATTGTAAAGCACTACATAAATGGTATTAATTATTATTGTATCATGATTCACTAGAGAATCAGAAGATCTATCACTATCCTTTGTAATTACACTACCTCATTCGAAAAATGGTATTTGTTGTCACCTGCAATATGCACACATCAATCAGAAGGACTACTGTGGCTGAACCACTAAGACAGAAAGCCAAAGTGTAATGAGGATTTAATATAATAAAGTTCTAATACACTACCATGAAGTGCTGGAGCCATTGTAGGCTTTGGTAATAGAACTATACACAATATTGAAGAAATCAGGTCTCAGAATATGTTGTAAGCTACCAATTGTTGGGGTGAAAAGGGAATAGGATTTGATGATTGGATAGGGAAAAAAAGAGCAGACCCACCTAAGAGAGAAAATCAAAATCACAGGCCAAGGGAAGGGGGCCTTTGTAAAACAACACACCTCTCTAACTAGAAGCAGCACTGCATTGTACTTTACTGAACTACTCTTACTGACTTAGGTGTGCGTATTCCTATCCTTGTTTGCATTCCCTAAGTGGGAATGTGACTACACTCTTGGGAACTGGTGGCAACTTATAGTAAAAGGTATTTCTGATAAATGACATAGCTAGTTTTGGACTACTTGTTTAATCTTTACTCATAACAGTTTTAACCATATTTTGTCCCAGGTAGAACACAGAAAACCCAGGGTTTTGTTGTTTTTAAACTAATAATGGCAAAGTAAAATCTGGATTTATAAAGTAGATGATAGCTGAAGTCTATCAGTCTTGACAAATCCTCATATATAAATTTCTGTGACACGCAAATATACATGCTGGTGACATTTCAAAGAAAAGCAAAGAAGTCAGAAGATTCTATTTTGTAAACTTGACAGAGCTCACTTATAAATACTAATAAACTTAAATTTGACCACTGACGGTAAATTCAAAATAAGCTATTATTTTATTTGTATTAATTAATGCAACTTAACTCAGTTTTGCATTTAATTCACATACTATATAATTCATTCACTCATATATTCAACAAATAACTATTGAGCAGCCACTATATGCCAGTAAAACAAGATATTCAAAATCCCTTTCTTTCATTGAGCTTGCAGCCTAGTAGGAGGAGATAGATGATATCTGGTAGGTGACGATAAGTGCCCTGAAGAAAAATAAGACAGTGAAAGGAGATGAGAGGGACAGAGTGGTTTTATTTTTTTGTAGAGAGTGAGAAAAGAATACATTCCCGATTAAGTGATATTTTAGCGGAGAACTCAAGAAAATGGGAGAGTAAGTCATCTGGGAAAGATCATTGTAAGAAGAGTATGGGGTTTATGTGTTAATATGTGGCCACTGAGAAACTTACTTCCATAGAGAAAATCAAAACAACTGCAGGCACACCACACTCTAGAAAGAAGAGTGGAATAAGGACTATTCACTTATATGTAAAGGGGCCAGGAATAGCACTCGGAATTATAATATATAAAGAAACAATATAAGAAACAAAGATATATATATATAAGATAAATATAAGAAACAAAGTTTGCCCCAACTTTAAATAGATTTTGTAACAAGCAGTAAAAAATAAAAGGCTTAAAGTTTGTTATTTGAATCTTCATTGACAATTTCACCTGAAGAATGTTAGTGACCAGTGAGAAAACTAAAACATAGCTGAGATTAGAGTGAAAATAAAGTAAATGCAAGATGCAAGTGATTTATATAACCTACAACTAGACTGGCATATTGTCTCTACGAGAAAGCTAAATTTAACTTAGAACTTCTGTTCATTATTGACTCTTTCAGAACATACCAGTAGAAAAATTAGAATATAGTCTCTCTTTACCAAAGAATCACCATTAAGTCAGGAATTTAAATGAAACTGCCAGCTCAAAGACATGAATGAAGTTCTTTGCCATTAGGGTTCTCAAGTACTAGTCCGACATTCCTTGTCTGCTTTAATCTCTATCACTCTACTCACATTTTCCTAAGCAGAATAACTCCATTTATTCTGGCCTCATACCCAGTTCTCAATCACATCCAAGCTAGGCTATGCCTGCAACAACTGACTACACAGAGCTTCCCTCTATTTTTTAATACACATGTAATGATATTCTACTGTACACATATACTGTAATTTACTTAACCAAGTGCTTCCTGATGGACATTCACTTTATTTCTAATCTTTTGTTCTTAAAAATATGCTATATAAATAGATCATATATTCATTTTACATATGATTAAATATATTCATGACGTAAATCCCCAAAAGGATCAAAGGGTATGTGTTTATTGTAATTCTGAAGGATACTACCAAAACACCCTCTGCAGAAATTGTACGTATTTACATTTCCACCAGCAAAGTATGAAAGTACTAGTTTCCCCACACCCTTGCTAATTTAGTGTCTCACCAGACATTTTAGGTTATTGACAACCTGTAAGAGAAAACTGGCAGGTCAGTGCATTTAAAAAAAAAAATATTTTATTTATTTATTTGACAGAGAGAGAGGGAGACACAAGCAGGGGGAGTGGAAGAGGGAGAAGCTCCCTGCTCAGCAGGGAGCCCAATGTGGGGCTCGATCCCAGGACCCTGAGACCATGATCTGAGCTGAAGACAGACGCTTAACCGATTGAACCACCCAGGCGCCCCTGTCAGTGTAGTTTTAATTTGCATTTCTCTTATTGTAACTGAAATTGGGCATGTGTGTTTGTATGTTTAAGGGCCATCTAAATTTCCTTTACATATTTCCACCCATTTTAAAAATTGGATTGGTAGACCATTCCTTATTCATTTTATAAGTTCTTTGTATATAAGGAAATTTTATTCCTTATTCTATCAGTAGCAAATATCCTTGCTTCAGTCTGTAGTTTGTTCACAGTCATTTAAATCATGCTTAAAAATCTTATTATTCAAATAGCTTTCCCATCTAAATTAGAACAATTTATCACTGCTTAATATGTACCTATTATACCACAGTTTATACTTAATAAACAGGTGACACTCAGTATTTGCAGATTGTATAAGTGTATAAATACATTTATCACACACCAAATATTTATTATTGGGCATTTATATAGACGTTGGAGATATGAGAGAAAATAAAACAGGCTCTCTGCCCTCAGAGAATTCTGTCTGATGAAGAAAAGAGTTATAGCAACAATTACCTATAAAATAATGTTAGAAGTACTTTAAAATACATGAAGTGCTAGGGACACAAAAATAAGAAACTAGATAATTATGTATGAAAAGCTGTCAGAGTAGTAATATTTGCACTTGGAGAAGGCTGAACTGGTGAATAAGAAAGTGAAAAGCATTACCAGCAGAAATATAAGCAATTTACAAGGAGCAACTCTCATAGGATGGGTGGATATAGTATTTCATACTCACACAGGAGGAGATTAAAAAGTAGACTTGGATTAGGTTGTATAGATCTTATATACAATCTCAAGAAGTTTGTATTTCATACTGCAGGCTTATAATTACAAATAGGTTTCATCTCACATACTAACTCTCACATATTAGCTGGTAGTAACCTCCCAGAATATTGCAGAGAATTCTAAGGCGTTGTCTAGGCTTGGCAGAAGGGTTCTATGATTGTCAGTCGGCCATGCATTTAGGAGGAGGCAGTGGAAACAATATACCAAATTAGGCATTTACAGTTAAGGAGTGTTACAAACATATCTGTCCTTGGGGAAGGTAACAGTGATGTCACTGTAGAAGACGGAAGGGTAGGCTATGGGTATTGTGTCTTATTCAGATTAGAATTTCTCTCTTTTCTACCAATATGATGTCTGGTAGTCATTAAAGTGTTCTGAAAAATGAATAAGTAAACAATCAAATAAAGGAGCTAATAAATGAACAGAGCCTTCTCCAGGAGCAAAGTTCATAAGCTTTAGTGGGCAGATTTACTGACATTTGTTTTCTCAGAAATTTTCCCTTCACTTCTTGTCTCTTAGTATATCCTGGACAGATGAGGTTATCAGATAGCTGAGTTTGAAAATATAATGATAGCAAATGTATAGGAATAAAAACAGTAATTCCAAAGAACTACCACTTAGGCTGATTATTTATAGGTAACCAAGCTGGATAGAAATAGCTTAATGAGTTCACTTTTTCTGGCTTGCAACCTTAGAATAAAAGATTCTATATGGAAATTATGGAAGAAGTGAAATCTATTTTGGTAATTAAAAAATTTGCCATAATTTTATTTTTTAAGAAATGTCATCTTGGGCGCCTGGGTGGCTCAGTCGGTTGAGCGACTGCTTTCGGCTCAGGTCATGATCCCAGGGTCCTGGGATCGAGTCCCACATCGGCTCCCTGCTCTGCGGGGAGCCTGCCTCTCCCTCTCCCACTCCCCCTGCTTGTGTTCCCTCTCTCGCTGTGTCTCTCTCTCTCAAATAAATAAATAAAATCTTAAAAAAAAAAAAATGTCATCTTGATAAAATACAAATAAAATATCAAGTTATTTCAATAAGAAAATACATATTGTAGTGCATTTTAAAAGTAACAGGTATACCATAAAAGATTCTATAAAATGAAAACAAATACATTTGCAAATTTTAGAAATAATTTATATGTAGACTTGCCTCTATCTTGGGTAGTAACTGGTAACGCCAAGCTATTTTCATCTTAATGTTAGAGTCTGGTGTTTGAGGATTACATACATCTTTATCAAAGTCTTTTTTATAATTATCATCAAGTAATGGTGCAGGAAGTTCCTAAGAAAACAGAATGACACATTATTGAACATCTGTGATTAAAAAATGCGACAATTTTCTTAAATCATTACATTAGCAATATTAGAACTTTCCAAGACCTTGATTCCTCAAAACTGATCGAAGCATTCAGTCATGACAATATGGCTATTTCTAAAACAGAGGAAAATGGTATATATAATAGTGTGAAGTTTTTTTAGCAATGAACTATAATTTAAAGAAAATATTCAAATTTTTATACTATCAAAAACCAAATGTTATTGCAACAAGAGTTATGATCTCTCTCTATATAAATATACACACACTTTAGCAAAGTCTGGAATTAGCATTTATGTATTAAATGTAATTACTGTTATGTCTGCTGCAAGGTAAAAATAAGGCATGTGTGCAATCTGTTTACTGGTTTGTGATACTAGAATTCAAAAAACTCATTCACCTAAATAATCAGTGAAGTAACAACAAGACATTTATTTTGCCCTTATCAAATGTTAGTTTTGTACCTGCAAGCCTATGTCTCTTCTTTTAACAACGGAAATAGAATTTAAAATCTCATTAAGTAAAGAAACACTGAAGTCCAATTTTATCTTTTCTTTTCTGGAAGCTGACCCAGGGAGTAGCTATAAAAAACACATGGAAAATATGTGTGTGTGTGTGTGTGTGTGTGTGTGTGTGTGTGTGTAGAGGAACTACAGAAAGAATGCAAAGAAAAAGTACTTAAGTTTCTTGGAGAATTACTGTCTTTTATATTAGCAAAAATCATAAAGATAATATGGGGTGCTGGATTAGTAAACATAATCTTGTGCTATGACATAAATTAGTCTAAACTGCAAGTTTTACTTTGCAAAATCAAATTTATTTATGCTTAGAACCATGTCAGCTGGAAAATACATTAACCATCATATATTTTAGTTATCTACTAAAAGGCCTCCAAACAGAACCACACTTTAATTTATGTTGGTATCAGAAACTAGTTATATCATTTAAACTCTGAACCCATCATTACCAGCAAAGCATTAGTATCTTACAAAATATAAAATAACTTATGTTTCCAATGGAAATAAATATTTGTGAGGCATATGGTACAATACAGTATAGTGGTTATGAGTTTGAATTCTACAACCAGATTGTTTAGGTCCAAATCTTGACTTTACACACTAATAGCTGTGTCTGTGGTTACCTTGACCACATATGGGACCTCTCTGTCTCTACTCATCATCTGAAAAACAGAGATAACAGCATTCATTTCATTGGGTTTCTGTAAGGAATAAATGAGTAAAAAATGTGAAATGCAAAGAATGGTGTTTGCTGCATGTTAAGCACTTAATAAACATTTGATTATAGGAATTTAGTCAAATAACTGCCTTAACTTAATACTCAGAGGCATATATTTTGAGTTGACAATAGTAGGCAATGTATTGAATCATTATATTGTACACCTAAAACCAATAAAACATTGCATGTTAATTATACTTGAATTAAAAAAAAAAAGGAAATATCCAGTGCAGAATGCAGAAAACAGGAATCCAACAGTCTTCTTGAGTTGAAGAGACAAGCTAGCAGTTCAAGGAGGCCATGTGGCAAAATACAGGGGAAGAGAGGAGCTCAGTGAAAGAGCTCCAGAGATCTGTAGAGGCAATTTTTTTTTTTTAAGATTTTATTTATTTATTTGTCAGAGAGAGAGCACAAGCAGGGGGAGCGGCAGGCAAAGGGAGAAGCAGGCTCCCTGCTGAGCAAGGAGACGATATGGGACTCGATCCCAGGACCCTGGGAACATGACCTGAGCCGAAGGCAGACACTCAACCAACTGAGCCACCCAGGTGTTCCTGTAGAGGCATCTCTTGAGTACTGAGCAGCACATGGACATAAGGAAACTACCCAAAACTGGTGAGAGAACCACTCAAAAGGAGCAAGGTGAACAATTTCTACAGCTTACAAAGAACCAGAAAAAGTCCATGGTCTCATCAACCAGAGTGGAGAAACCTTGTAATTCATGGAGCATTAAGTAGTGAGGCAAAATCAGCCCCAGAAAAAAATCTGCTCTGATTCCACCTGACAAAGCTTAAAAGTAAGCCTCATAGTGATCAAACGGTTTCCAAGTAACTTTATTGAATCCCAGAAATGAACTCAAGAATGTTTGCAGGAATGTAAAATATCCAGCACTCCACATGTTAAAATTCACAATATCTGGAGCCAATAAAAAAAAAATACCAGGCATGAAAAAGAACAGGAAAATATGACCTATAATAAGGAGATGCAGCAATGATACAAATATAGTTAGACTAAGACAAAAATCAATTATAATTATAGTCCATGTGTTCAATAAAGATTGACCATATAGAGATAGGAAAGACATATTTTTAGAAGACCCAATGAACCTCTAGAGATGAACACTTCAACATCTGAGATTTTAAAAACACACTGGATAGAAGGAACAGCAGATTAGACATTGCAGGAAAAAAAGATTAATAAGCTTCAAGACATAGCAATAGAAATAATTTAAAAATATATAGCTATGACAAAGGTATAAAATTTTTAAAAATTACAAAATCAAACTTCCCTACAATAATTAAACAACATTCCCAGCATAAACTTGTGTATATACATGGATATGCTGACAAAATACTTCGATTAAAAATAGTAGATATTAAAATACTATTAATACTTGAAAAATTAACATTTTACTTTATAAAACAAAAATGAAGTAAAATTGAAAGAATTGTTGAACTGATCAATGATTCTTTACTTTGAGAGAGATTATTTCCTGACACATTCTCTTCTAAAATTAGAAATGTGATTATGAAGCATATTAAGATGTTGGAGTCACTATGCTCCTTTTTATGGGTTTCAGTTTTCAATGAAATCAGTTTCTCTTTCCTTCTCTCCTATAAAAAATGAGGAAATTAGCATGTAGCACTTTCTCCCAGCCCCAGGTTTAGTTTTTTCCCCTATTATTTTTACATTGTCAAGGTTTATAGAATTGCATTCTTGTCTGCACCACACAGAGTTATTTAGTTTTAGGGTTTTGTTGAAATGGATTCACCATGGGTGATTTTACCACAGTTCCGCCATTCTTGAGTTTTTAAAAAATTGATACCTGCGCTCATTTAACAGTGCCAAGAAGGTACCAGGGATGAAGCAGTGAGCAAAATAAACCAAGTCTCTGCTTTTACGGAGGTATATTCTAGAAGGGTAGTGATATAAACTTGAAAAAAAAAAAGAGGAAAGGAATACAGAGTAATGGGAAATGTTTACTTTACATAAGGTAGTCAATGAAGCTCTCTGTGAGGAAGTAAATACATGGATCATATTTTCAAATACTTTTTTATTCAACCAATACATTGGTTGTATATATTTCATAATATTTTTATTAGCTTAGAAGTTGGTAGACGTTGCTGTTGTACTGTCTTTGGACAGGGAATGATGCTGTGAAGTCTGAAGCCTTCCACTCATGTAGGTGATCTGCTTTTTTTCTGCCCAAATGAGTGAATAATTCTTCATCTTTGCAGTTTAATAGCTTAAATGGGTTATATCTATATCTATTGCTTTGTATTATTTCTCCCCTGTAACACTGAATGTCCCTTTTAAGCGGAAGATCTCAATTTCTAATAAAATTTTTTGTGTCTGAGGTTTAAAATTATTTTTCTGTTCTACACTGAACTAGAATATATCCTTATTGATATAAATATCATGTGTATCATTGACAGTTGTAAAACGTCATACAGTGAACAATTTAAACATTAGATGAATAAATGTTTTCCTGTTTTCTAGACCAGCCCTGACTAACAGAAATTTCAGTGATGTTGGAAATGTTCTATACCTGTCCTGTTCAATACACTAGCTACTAGCTACTTAAATTTAATTTTATTAAATATTTTCCACACTGTAATTATATTCTCACTTACTGTTTTAACCTCATTTCTCTAACTGCACTGTGACTATTGCAAGTCTTTTTAATACTGGGTAATACTATTTAAGTCAATTCGTATTTTTAATTCTGCAATTATCCTTTTTATCTACTCATGTTTTCTTAAATCTCATTTTTGTGATATTTTATTGAACTCTTGTTCTCTTTTTTTGTTTTGAACTCATGTTCTTATTAAACTCTTCTATAAATCTTTTATGAAGGAATTTCCTTCTGTTCTTGGATTATGTTTTCTTCCAGACTGAGTTTTTCCCTCTAGCTAAAGTTTGAGAGCTGAGTATTTTGATATTCACCTATTTTTCTGTACCTTCATGTTAGGAGAGCTTAGGCAAAATTAAATGCAATCTTCATTAGAAGACTTGGACTCTTTATTTTCTTATGAGATTTCATGAAATGCCAACTTCCTGTGTTCGCATCAGTTGATTCAGTGAGTATTTTATTCTTGTTTAGGGAATGATATATTATTAGGTTTTAGATTATATACCCAATTCAGTGTTGTTTCTGAAACATTTGCTTTAGTTTGAGACCATTAGCCCTAATTATCTTTTTAAGATTACGATAATTCTTTGGTTTCTAGGTGTGAGGATGAAGAACATTGAATGGTGACTTTTATTTGGACATGGACTTTATAAATTTATGGCATTGGGTTGGACTCTGACTCTTGTTCTGTTCGGTAAAACTGAATTTTTGGAATATTTTAAATTACTTTTTGTTTGGTAATGTATGAGAGTCTATGATACAAATTTAGTACCCTGATATCTTAACCCCAAACACAATATTCAATAATTCTAAAGTAATCTTTAGGAAAATTTCAACTAGAAATAGAGTAGGGAAATATATACCTACAACCCTGCCATCAGAGAACTAATTGAAAATTCTGTTTAGAACATTTCAAACATATAAAAACTGTCTTCTTAATATATATTGGTCGAGGGGCATCATTTTACAACTTAATTAAATCTATAAATTATAAATTATTTTAAATGATTGATTCTCAACTATTTTCCTGCCTTTATACATTTGCAAAGATAATGTAATTCTGTCAAAATATATATATATATATATATGTGTATACACACAC